ACAATAAATAAAAAAATGCAAGTAAAAACAATATATATATCATTGCAACAATAAGATATATATATATATATATATATATATATATATATAGGCCTATATATATATGTATATATATATATATAGGCCTATATATATAAGATCCAATAATGTCCGTGCCATAGTAAGCGCAGTTGCATAGAATCCGTTGATTTTATTTAATTTTATATATTTCTAGACTAGAATATATGACCCGGTGTTACTGGGAAATAATTGGGAAATAACATTTTGCGTTCATTTCCACATCTTCTTTTGTTGTCTCACATTTTTTATATATGTGTGTGTAAGAAAATAAATATCAACCCCCTTGAATTTAAAATTTAAGAAATAATAAATTAGATTTTTTTATTTTCACATTATCCAGCTAGAGATAAAAATCACATTAGAGCAGGCGACACATGGAAAGCTTTAGACTTAGGTTTCTAATCAATACGATAGGCTTTTCTATAAACCGTAGCATATAATAACTCAAAATGTTAGGCGGGACGAAATACTTTATGAAAAATAGGACGGGGGGAAACCTATGAAGAAAATAATAATAAAATATAAAATTTCGTCAATTCGTTTGCGGCAAAGTGAGTGTTGGCAGGCCGCATGCGACCCGCGGGCCGTATGTTGTGCAGGCCTGTCATATAGTATTGTTTAAGGACCAATGTCCACAGTAAGCGTAGCTGCATATGATACGTGATTTTATTTAATTAAGTATTACTGAATTTGAGGAAGTTCACTTCCAAAAATAGGCGAATGCCTTTTATATGAAATCCGAGATCCCTTTATTTTTGCACGTGCGTAGTCTTAGACGCCGTAGTCTGCTGTCAGTAAACAAGTCGGCCTAAGCACATATATCATCACAGTAAATATTCAATCATTTTATTAACGATTACTACATTTATTTAATCTAAAATTCATGTGGTTCAGTTCAAGTTAGATCTAGACGTCCGATTTGTATATAGAATAAAATGTTAAAAATTAATTTACAAATAGGCCCTAAGGGTGGTCGTCTTAAAAATATTATGTTTTGAAAACACATAATTATAACTACACGCTTCCCTGGGGTTTGGTGTGGTGGGTCAAGTGCTGGTGCCAAACTGAAATATCAAAATCGTCCTGGCTTTATGATCTCTAAAAATCATTTTCTACTTCCACTTACGAGCTCATGAAAGTAGGGCAAGAACTATTATTAGAATTGTAGTCCTTGATATTGATTTAAAGGTATTTTAATAAGTGTTAATAAAGTCGTAACATATTTGAATATGAAAAAAAACAAATTAATAAATGTAAAAAAAAAAATACCGATATGTGCGAACAACACGAAGTAAGTCTTTGGCTTATAATCAGAAGCGTTAAGTACGATATTTTAATCGAATGCTGTAAACCTTCAACAAGATTAGCCTTAAAATATACGGATCATCAAATATATCGGGTGTAGCGATATTTAAAAGATTCCACTAATTGTAATCGGATAAAGGCACCAGTTTCTATTCTGTTTAAAAATGATAATTTAACCGTTTAAAAATTGAAAAATATATCATCATTCCATTGTTTTTTTTACCCATTTTGCTCCGGGGGAGGGGGGGACTTGACTTTCCCAGGCGGGGGAGGGGGGCGGGACTGCCCCCCCCCCCCCAAGAGATGCCTGTAAGAAACCCTGATTATGAAGTTAAGTAAACTATATCTTAAATATGATATAAACTGAATTAAACTACGAGTGGGTTTAAATAATTGCTAAAATTTGTTATAGTCTTTTGATGTATGAAAATCAGTGTTAAGGTTAGTTGAGAGTTTGATGCCTTGCTACTTGCTACTAGTCGTTTCATTTTTCTCTGCTTAGCCCTAGTATTAGATAACTAGCGAATAATATGCTTGCTAAGCAAAAGTTGGATATGAAAGCCTGTAAAATTTTATTGTTATTATTTTTTTTTATTTTGAAAATTTATTTGAATTATGCATTCTTTACAGGTCGTCAATTCAAGTTTCGAATTCTTCAAGAAATATTTATAAACAAATGTTTCTAACAATGTGTGACGTGTCCCTTTCTAAAAAAAAAAAAATTAATAATAATAATAATTAAATAATAATATATGATAGTACATTTACATGTTCTTCTAGGTTTCCAGTAGGATTGATTAGGTAGTTAAAAAAAACACACACACACACAACAAAATGTAAAGTATAAAGATTGTTTGGCACATAAACAGCCTGGCATAATAATGTTACTATTAGATTACGTGTACCCAGCACTTAAACTGTGTGAATGCGGTCGCTATGGCATGGGATTCCTGTGTTCTATGTGTGCGCGGAGAGCGGCGCGGTCTTTGTGGATGGGGGAAAACGTAATATCTATAGCAACACGCAATAGTGGGGACGCGGGACCTCGCACGCGCCGTACCACAACCGACTGGCATCAAATGGGGAACCGTGGGGGGGGNGGGGGGGGGGGTTGCTTTCAAAGAAGGTGGATAGAAATCCGGCATCGCTTTCCGGCTGACTCGACCGTTTTTTCCCCCCTGGTTTTGCCGGCGGTTCCCCCCCCCCCCGAGTATAAAGGCAACAAGTCGCAATGATCTAAAGATAGATTTTACTTGGCATTGATTAATTATGCTCCGGAGCTGACCGATGGCTCTGGAGTGCCCCGGTTCGAAATGCCAACTGGTCGACTCGGGACTGTGCTGTTCTTTTCGGCGCAAAAATTTTATGTTTTCTCGTACATCTGCTGCACATTGCCTTTTTATAAGTCATTGAAAAAAAAAAAAACTCAAAAAAAAACCCTCAAAAATACAACAAAAACAACACACAAAAACCAACCCAAAAAAACCCCTCAAAAATACAACAAAAACAACACACAAAAACCAACCCAAAAAAACCCCCTCAAAAATACAACAAAAACAACACACAAAAACCAACCCAAAAAAAACCCCTCAAAAATACAACAAAAACAACACACAAAAACCAACCCAAAAAAACCCCCTCAAAAATACAACAAAAACAACACACAAAAACCAACCCAAAAAAACCCCCTCAAAAATACAACAAAAACAACACACAAAAACAACCCAAAAAAAACCCCTAAAAAATACAACAAAAACAACACACAAAAACCAACCCAAAAAAAAATCAACCAAAAAATGAACATTTTCCCCAATCCCAGATCCACACCCCCCCCCTCCCCCATGTTTCCAAATACATGGTCCTCAGGCAAAGGGGGTGTGGCAGCGCAATTAAGTGACGTCAATGTAAAGCCGGTGACGAAAGAAAACTTGAAACAATCGGAGTCTGAGATTTTAAAACCAACCCAAAAAAAAATCAACCAAAAACTGCACCTTTTCCCCAATCCCAGATCCCCACCCCCCCCCCCTCCCCCATGTTTTCAAATACATGGTCCTCAGGCAAAGGGGGTGTGGCAGCGCAATTAAGTGACGTCAATGTAAAGGCTGTGACGAAAGAAAACTTGAAACAATCTGAGTCTGAGATTTCATGTCAAAAACTAAATGTTTGAATAGGGTTACGTCTCTGGACAGAGATCTTCGTAAACCTCATAGATATTTAAAAAAAGAAAATGAAATCTCTTTGTGTACCGTCAGCAATTATTTTCAAACGTGTACTGCAGAGGCACGTTATTCATGATAAAACACAGATACAATAAACTTAGTCATTGCCTCCCTTTAGTGGAGTTCCTAACGCTTAGCTTGAATAGCTTGCTGTCAGACCATGCGCCATCGTAGAAATGTAAATTAAAAAAAAAAAAGGGGGGGGGGGTGTGATTTAGGAGATTTTTTCTTATGGGGTGCATATGCCTGGGAGTGAGGGGTTAAAAATGAAACTATTCATATACAAAAGTGTAGGGGTGCAACATGGGGGAGGGGGGTATGAAAATTTTAATTTTTACTGACATACTAATGGCAGAGCGTTTAATGTATTTTATTTTTGTGGTTACTTCCCTTACAATTACAACCATTTGAAACCCAGTGCAAACACCCCAGTGTCAAAGTATGCGTATGAAAAGCGGGGAGACTGGAGTGAGAGAGTGAAGGAGAGGGAGACGGAGAGAGAGAGATGGAGAGAAAGAGAGAGGCAAAGAGAGTTTAAGAGAAATAGGAAAGTAGAAAACGATATAATATGTATGTATATATATATATATTATATATATACATATATATATATATATATATATATATAGAGAGAGAGAGAGAGAGAGAGAGAGAGAGACCATGGGAGGAACATCTGACTCTGCGCTAGTTTTTTTTTTTCCACAGAATTCAGGCTTATGTGTTGCTGTTTTAAATTATTAAAGGATTGGAAAGAAAAGCACATCAGTTATGTCTGAGTGGAAGGAGGTGGTGAGGCAGGCCGAAGGACGAAAGGGAGACAACAGCGATGGATGAAAGGGAGACAACAGCGATGGATGAAAGGGAGACAACAGCGATGGATGAAAGGGAGACAACAGCGATGGATGAAAGGGAGACAACAGCGATGGATGAAAGGGAGACAACAGCGATGGATGAAGGT